CTGATGAGGGCAGCGTTAGTATCAGGTGGTTCCTACCTATGGTTCCTAGGCTAGTGTCTCCAGGTAGCCTGATGAGGGCAGCGTTAGTATCAGGTGGTTCCTACCTATGGTTCCTAGGCTAGTGTCTCCAGGTAGCCTGATGAGGGCAGCGTTAGTATCAGGTGGTTCCTACCTATGGTTCCTAGGCTAGTGTCTCCAGGTAGCCTGATGAGGGCAGCGTTAGTATCAGGTGGTTCCTACCTATGGTTCCTAGGCTAGTGTCTCCAGGTAGCCTGATGAGGGCAGCGTTAGTATCAGGTGGTTCCTACCTATGGTTCCTAGGCTAGTGTCTCCAGGTAGCCTGATGAGGGCAGCGTTAGTATCAGGTGGTTCCTACCTATGGTTCCTAGGCTAGTGTCTCCAGGTAGCCTGATGAGGGCAGCGTTAGTATCAGGTGGTTCCTACCTATGGTTCCTAGGCTAGTGTCTCCAGGTAGCCTGATGAGGGCAGCGTTAGTATCAGGTGGTTCCTACCTATGGTTCCTAGGCTAGTGTCTCCAGGTAGCCTGATGAGGGCAGCGTTAGTATCAGGTGGTTCCTACCTATGGTTCCTAGGCTAGTGTCTCCAGGTAGCCTGATGAGGGCAGCGTTAGTATCAGGTGGTTCCTACCTATGGTTCCTAGGCTAGTGTCTCCAGGTAGCCTGATGAGGGCAGCGTTAGTATCAGGTGGTTCCTACCTATGGTTCCTAGGCTAGTGTCTCCAGGTAGCCTGATGAGGGCAGCGTTAGTATCAGGTGGTTCCTACCTATGGTTCCTAGGCTAGTGTCTCCAGGTAGCCTGATGAGGGCAGCGTTAGTATCAGGTGGTTCCTACCTATGGTTCCTAGGCTAGTGTCTCCAGGTAGCCTGATGAGGGCAGCGTTAGTATCAGGTGGTTCCTACCTATGGTTCCTAGGCTAGTGTCTCCAGGTAGCCTGATGAGGGCAGCGTTAGTATCAGGTGGTTCCTACCTATGGTTCCTAGGCTAGTGTCTCCAGGTAGCCTGATGAGGGCAGCGTTAGTATCAGGTGGTTCCTACCTATGGTTCCTAGGCTAGTGTCTCCAGGTAGCCTGATGAGGGCAGCGTTAGTATCAGGTGGTTCCTACCTATGGTTCCTAGGCTAGTGTCTCCAGGTAGCCTGATGAGGGCAGCGTTAGTATCAGGTGGTTCCTACCTATGGTTCCTAGGCTAGTGTCTCCAGGTAGCCTGATGAGGGCAGCGTTAGTATCAGGTGGTTCCTACCTATGGTTCCTAGGCTAGTGTCTCCAGGTAGCCTGATGAGGGCAGCGTTAGTATCAGGTGGTTCCTACCTATGGTTCCTAGGCTAGTGTCTCCAGGTAGCCTGATGAGGGCAGCGTTAGTATCAGGTGGTTCCTACCTATGGTTCCTAGGCTAGTGTCTCCAGGTAGCCTGATGAGGGCAGCGTTAGTATCAGGTGGTTCCTACCTATGGTTCCTAGGCTAGTGTCTCCAGGTAGCCTGATGAGGGCAGCGTTAGTATCAGGTGGTTCCTACCTATGGTTCCTAGGCTAGTGTCTCCAGGTAGCCTGATGAGGGCAGCGTTAGTATCAGGTGGTTCCTACCTATGGTTCCTAGGCTAGTGTCTCCAGGTAGCCTGATGAGGGCAGCGTTAGTATCAGGTGGTTCCTACCTATGGTTCCTAGGCTAGTGTCTCCAGGTAGCCTGATGAGGGCAGCGTTAGTATCAGGTGGTTCCTACCTATGGTTCCTAGGCTAGTGTCTCCAGGTAGCCTGATGAGGGCAGCGTTAGTATCAGGTGGTTCCTACCTATGGTTCCTAGGCTAGTGTCTCCAGGTAGCCTGATGAGGGCAGCGTTAGTATCAGGTGGTTCCTACCTATGGTTCCTAGGCTAGTGTCTCCAGGTAGCCTGATGAGGGCAGCGTTAGTATCAGGTGGTTCCTACCTATGGTTCCTAGGCTAGTGTCTCCAGGTAGCCTGATGAGGGCAGCGTTAGTATCAGGTGGTTCCTACCTATGGTTCCTAGGCTAGTGTCTCCAGGTAGCCTGATGAGGGCAGCGTTAGTATCAGGTGGTTCCTACCTATGGTTCCTAGGCTAGTGTCTCCAGGTAGCCTGATGAGGGCAGCGTTAGTATCAGGTGGTTCCTACCTATGGTTCCTAGGCTAGTGTCTCCAGGTAGCCTGATGAGGGCAGCGTTAGTATCAGGTGGTTCCTACCTATGGTTCCTAGGCTAGTGTCTCCAGGTAGCCTGATGAGGGCAGCGTTAGTATCAGGTGGTTCCTACCTATGGTTCCTAGGCTAGTGTCTCCAGGTAGCCTGATGAGGGCAGCGTTAGTATCAGGTGGTTCCTACCTATGGTTCCTAGGCTAGTGTCTCCAGGTAGCCTGATGAGGGCAGCGTTAGTATCAGGTGGTTCCTACCTATGGTTCCTAGGCTAGTGTCTCCAGGTAGCCTGATGAGGGCAGCGTTAGTATCAGGTGGTTCCTACCTATGGTTCCTAGGCTAGTGTCTCCAGGTAGCCTGATGAGGGCAGCGTTAGTATCAGGTGGTTCCTACCTATGGTTCCTAGGCTAGTGTCTCCAGGTAGCCTGATGAGGGCAGCGTTAGTATCAGGTGGTTCCTACCTATGGTTCCTAGGCTAGTGTCTCCAGGTAGCCTGATGAGGGCAGCGTTAGTATCAGGTGGTTCCTACCTATGGTTCCTAGGCTAGTGTCTCCAGGTAGCCTGATGAGGGCAGCGTTAGTATCAGGTGGTTCCTACCTATGGTTCCTAGGCTAGTGTCTCCAGGTAGCCTGATGAGGGCAGCGTTAGTATCAGGTGGTTCCTACCTATGGTTCCTAGGCTAGTGTCTCCAGGTAGCCTGATGAGGGCAGCGTTAGTATCAGGTGGTTCCTACCTATGGTTCCTAGGCTAGTGTCTCCAGGTAGCCTGATGAGGGCAGCGTTAGTATCAGGTGGTTCCTACCTATGGTTCCTAGGCTAGTGTCTCCAGGTAGCCTGATGAGGGCAGCGTTAGTATCAGGTGGTTCCTACCTATGGTTCCTAGGCTAGTGTCTCCAGGTAGCCTGATGAGGGCAGCGTTAGTATCAGGTGGTTCCTACCTATGGTTCCTAGGCTAGTGTCTCCAGGTAGCCTGATGAGGGCAGCGTTAGTATCAGGTGGTTCCTACCTATGGTTCCTAGGCTAGTGTCTCCAGGTAGCCTGATGAGGGCAGCGTTAGTATCAGGTGGTTCCTACCTATGGTTCCTAGGCTAGTGTCTCCAGGTAGCCTGATGAGGGCAGCGTTAGTATCAGGTGGTTCCTACCTATGGTTCCTAGGCTAGTGTCTCCAGGTAGCCTGATGAGGGCAGCGTTAGTATCAGGTGGTTCCTACCTATGGTTCCTAGGCTAGTGTCTCCAGGTAGCCTGATGAGGGCAGCGTTAGTATCAGGTGGTTCCTACCTATGGTTCCTAGGCTAGTGTCTCCAGGTAGCCTGATGAGGGCAGCGTTAGTATCAGGTGGTTCCTACCTATGGTTCCTAGGCTAGTGTCTCCAGGTAGCCTGATGAGGGCAGCGTTAGTATCAGGTGGTTCCTACCTATGGTTCCTAGGCTAGTGTCTCCAGGTAGCCTGATGAGGGCAGCGTTAGTATCAGGTGGTTCCTACCTATGGTTCCTAGGCTAGTGTCTCCAGGTAGCCTGATGAGGGCAGCGTTAGTATCAGGTGGTTCCTACCTATGGTTCCTAGGCTAGTGTCTCCAGGTAGCCTGATGAGGGCAGCGTTAGTATCAGGTGGTTCCTACCTATGGTTCCTAGGCTAGTGTCTCCAGGTAGCCTGATGAGGGCAGCGTTAGTATCAGGTGGTTCCTACCTATGGTTCCTAGGCTAGTGTCTCCAGGTAGCCTGATGAGGGCAGCGTTAGTATCAGGTGGTTCCTACCTATGGTTCCTAGGCTAGTGTCTCCAGGTAGCCTGATGAGGGCAGCGTTAGTATCAGGTGGTTCCTACCTATGGTTCCTAGGCTAGTGTCTCCAGGTAGCCTGATGAGGGCAGCGTTAGTATCAGGTGGTTCCTACCTATGGTTCCTAGGCTAGTGTCTCCAGGTAGCCTGATGAGGGCAGCGTTAGTATCAGGTGGTTCCTACCTATGGTTCCTAGGCTAGTGTCTCCAGGTAGCCTGATGAGGGCAGCGTTAGTATCAGGTGGTTCCTACCTATGGTTCCTAGGCTAGTGTCTCCAGGTAGCCTGATGAGGGCAGCGTTAGTATCAGGTGGTTCCTACCTATGGTTCCTAGGCTAGTGTCTCCAGGTAGCCTGATGAGGGCAGCGTTAGTATCAGGTGGTTCCTACCTATGGTTCCTAGGCTAGTGTCTCCAGGTAGCCTGATGAGGGCAGCGTTAGTATCAGGTGGTTCCTACCTATGGTTCCTAGGCTAGTGTCTCCAGGTAGCCTGATGAGGGCAGCGTTAGTATCAGGTGGTTCCTACCTATGGTTCCTAGGCTAGTGTCTCCAGGTAGCCTGATGAGGGCAGCGTTAGTATCAGGTGGTTCCTACCTATGGTTCCTAGGCTAGTGTCTCCAGGTAGCCTGATGAGGGCAGCGTTAGTATCAGGTGGTTCCTACCTATGGTTCCTAGGCTAGTGTCTCCAGGTAGCCTGATGAGGGCAGCGTTAGTATCAGGTGGTTCCTACCTATGGTTCCTAGGCTAGTGTCTCCAGGTAGCCTGATGAGGGCAGCGTTAGTATCAGGTGGTTCCTACCTATGGTTCCTAGGCTAGTGTCTCCAGGTAGCCTGATGAGGGCAGCGTTAGTATCAGGTGGTTCCTACCTATGGTTCCTAGGCTAGTGTCTCCAGGTAGCCTGATGAGGGCAGCGTTAGTATCAGGTGGTTCCTACCTATGGTTCCTAGGCTAGTGTCTCCAGGTAGCCTGATGAGGGCAGCGTTAGTATCAGGTGGTTCCTACCTATGGTTCCTAGGCTAGTGTCTCCAGGTAGCCTGATGAGGGCAGCGTTAGTATCAGGTGGTTCCTACCTATCCGGTGTAAGATGATCTGGGGGATCCTGGTGAAATCCAGCAGTCTGTGCTGATCATCCATCTTCTCCTCCTCGATCTGATCTAATCTTCCTTTAAACTCTGGGAATGTTTCTCCAGCAGGAGTTAACTGCTCGCTGACAAACTCTCCTTCCAGCTGGACTCAACACATTCTCACTGCAAACACTCACACATTAGCAGCCTCTCTGCTAGCACACGGAAGCTAAAGCTAATGCTAACAGTCCGGCTTCTTGTTGTTTTCTTCTTCTTTGGTGGAGGTTAATGGCGGTCGGGAAACAATTTAAAGTTCTCATTACCGCCACCTGTCGGTATGGACTCTGGAAATAAATGATCGTACTCTAACCAATATATTTATCTTTCTTATATCAATAATATAACAATCAAATATTATTTATTTATTTAATATAATCACTATTTAATATTAACAATATAATTTATGTTTTATTCTTAATAATGAATATATCCTCTTACTGTCTATTATGTGTATATCAATTTTATTTAAAATTCTCTCCTATCTATATTAATGAAAACTTTACCAGTTTACTATCAAACAGCTTTAGTTCTTTTTAACAACCTTCTAACTTTATTTTCCAAACTAACTTCTTTGATTCCCAGAAACGTTTCATCTCATTGATGCTGATATTGTTTTCTGCTCTGAGCAGAGATTAGAAATAAAATCAGTTTCTCTACTGTTGGAGTGAAATTATCTTCTCTTTCTTCTTTATTCTGATCTTGGTTCATGTCTCCTTCCTTTGCCCTTGAACTTTCTTCCCTGCTTCTGCGGAGCTTCTAGTTGTTGTAGTTCTATCCTGTTGTATTTCTGTGCTGGCCCTGCTGCCATCATTTCTTCTTCTAGGTTTTAATAAAGTCTCTGGATGCTGTTAACAAAGCCTCCAGTAATGTTTCTCTCTAATTAATCTAAATCCTGGTTAATTGGTATTCCTGTTATTACTCCTCTCATTGTTTTATTCTCTCCTATGACTTTTAGATCTACCACCTCAGTGTTTAACATCCACGCTTTGATTCTTTGCTTCTCATTATTAAAAATTACCAGAACGTTTCCATCAATCAAATCCTTCTTGATTTAACTTCCACAATTTTCTTAATTATTTCTCTTGAAATCAAAATCGGGCTGAAATGACTGTTTATCACTGAATCCAAATATTATTTTTATTTCTTCTCTATCACCCTTCCTTCTCACATCGAACCCCAGTGGGCCTCAGCAGATGGCCGCTCACACTGAGCCTGGTTCTGCTGGAGGTTTCTTCCTGTTCAAAGGGAGTTTTTCCTCTCCACTGTCGCTACAAGCATGCTTAGTGTGAGGGATTGCTGAAGAGTCAATGAGTCGATGCAATCAGCTGGTTTTCCTTAGATAGAAAACTTTGAATCAATCTGACTGGATGATCTGGTTGTTCTGGATCTAGAAAGTGACCTGAGATGACATGATGTGAATTGGAGCTATAGAAATACACTGAATAGAATTGAATCTCTTTGAGCTGCTTTCTGACAATTCCCGTTTATTTCCTTCATTCTCAGACCAACTTTCTCCTCTTCTATTCCTCTATCTCCCTCTTTGCTATTTGAATCTGTGGTCCATCCTTCCTCATCCTCATCTTCCTCACCTCCCTGACCCGCCATGTTGTTCCGTCCAGCAGGTAAACAGACTGACAGTCTGTCAGCCAGTCTATCAGTCAGTCTGTCAGCCAGTCTATCAGCCAGTCTGTCAGCCAGTCTATCAGCCAGTCAGTCAGCCAGTCTATCAGCCAGTCAGTCAGCCAGTCTATCAGCCAGTCAGTCAGCCAGTCTATCAGCCAGTCAGTCAGCCAGTCTATCAGTCAGTCTGTCAGCCAGTCTATCAGTCAGTCTGTCAGCCAGTCTATCAGTCAGTCTGTCAGCCAGTCTATCAGCCAGTCTGTCAGCCAGTCTATCAGTCAGTCTGTCAGCCAGTCTATCAGCCAGTCAGTCAGCCAGTCTATCAGCCAGTCAGTCAGCCAGTCTATCAGCCAGTCAGTCAGCCAGTCTATCAGCCAGTCAGTCAGCCAGTCTATCAGTCAGTCTGTCAGCCAGTCTATCAGCCAGTCAGTCAGCCAGTCTATCAGTCAGTCTGTCAGCCAGTCTATCAGCCAGTCTGTCAGCCAGTCTATCAGCCAGTCTGTCAGCCAGTCTATCAGCCAGTCAGTCAGCCAGTCTATCAGCCAGTCAGTCAGCCAGTCTATCAGCCAGTCAGTCAGTCAGTCTATCAGCCTGTCAGTCAGTCTGTCTCTAAGTCCAGCTCAGCAGCAGCAGCTCTTCCTCCTTGCTTTCTTCAATCACTCTGCTATCGACCGTCTTCTTCTCCTTTATTGTTGGATAACAAACAGCTTCATTTCGCCCCCTGAGTGTGCAACTTCTCAGTCTTTGCTAACTAGATTCTTTTTGTTTTAAATTGTCTAATGTAATTATATAAATTAATACGGAGCCCCTCTGGTGACATGGGCAGAATTCTTTTTTAAAGACGTTAAGGAGTGGCCACGAAGATAGATAAGTTGTGGCTACGTGTTACTAAGGCGTGGCCACAACTTACTAAGGCGTGGCCATGCATTTCAAATACTGTTACCATACATTGAAATAGCAGAGCCAGTTTCAGAGAGGAAAGGTAATTGTGTGCTAAATAGATTGAGTATGGTGTCTTGTGAGAAACTCATGCAGTGGGATCTGTGGTCTTTATTCAATGGGGGGGTCATTCTTATTTAAGGAAACGCGTGTTTTGGCACATTGTGGCATCATGTCTGACACCATTGTGGACTTCTGAAGGTTCCTACACACTGAGCCTAAACGTTTCGGGTCGAGCGACAGGATTTCCATATGAGTCGGTTTCAACACTGGAGCTACGTGATGCTCGCAAACTCTGAGAGGCCACAGAGGCAATCCTAGTGACGCAATACTCACCGTTTTACACAAAATGAAAAACCACAACTTAACAACGCAACGAATCAGACGCACACACAATGACAATCGAACATAAAGAGATGTCCCTTTCCTCACTGCAGGATTGTCTCGGTAACTTTTCTGACCCACATGCAGAAAAGACCCCCACAGGAGCTGTTTGCTTTTAGAAAAAAGGTTAATAAGAAAGTAACCGGTTACTCTAATGAGGACTTTAGGAGAAGGGGCCAGGAGGCATGCAGGAGTCACAGTTATTACTGCAAGGAGGCATGCAGGAGTCACAGTTATTACTGCAAGGAGGCATGCAGGAGGCATGCAGGAGTCACAGTTATTACTGCAAGGAGGCATGCAGGAGTCACAGTTATTACTGCAAGGAGGCATGCAGGAGTCACAGTTATTACTGCAAGGAGGCATGCAGGAGTCACAGTTATTACTGCAAGGAGGCATGCAGGAGGCATGCAGGAGTCACAGTTATTACTGCAAGGAGGCATGCAGGAGTCACAGTTATTACTGCAAGGAGGCATGCAGGAGTCACAGTTATTACTGCAAGGAGGCATGCAGGAGTCACAGTTATTACTGCAAGGAGGCATGCAGGAGTCACAGTTATTACTGCAAGGAGGCATGCAGGAGTCACAGTTATTACTGCAAGGAGGCATGCAGGAGTCACAGTTATTACTGCAAGGAGGCATGCAGGAGTCACAGTTATTACTGCAAGGAGGCATGCAGGAGTCACAGTTATTACTGCAAGGAGGCATGCAGGAGTCACAGTTATTAATGCAAGGAGGCATGCAGGAGTCACAGTTATTACTGCAAGGAGGCATGCAGGAGTCACAGTTATTACTGCAAGGAGGCATGCAGGAGTCACAGTTATTACTGCAAGGAGGCATGCAGGAGTCACAGTTATTACTGCAAGGAGGCATGCAGGAGTCACAGTTATTACTGCAAGGAGGCATGCAGGAGTCACAGTTATTACTGCAAGGAGGCATGCAGGAGTCACAGTTATTACTGCAAGGAGGCATGCAGGAGTCACAGTTATTACTGCAAGGAGGCATGCAGGAGTCACAGTTATTACTGCAAGGAGGCATGCAGGAGTCACAGTTATTACTGCAAGGAGGCATGCAGGAGTCACAGTTATTACTGCAAGGAGGCATGCAGGAGTCACAGTTATTACTGCAAGGAGGCATGCAGGAGTCACAGTTATTACTGCAAGGAGGCATGCAGGAGTCACAGTTATTACTGCAAGGAGGCATGCAGGAGTCACAGTTATTACTGCAAGGAGGCATGCAGGAGTCACAGTTATTACTGCAAGGAGGCATGCAGGAGTCACAGTTATTACTGCAAGGAGCATGCAGGAGTCACAGTTATTACTGCAAGGAGGCATGCAGGAGTCACAGTTATTACTGCAAGGAGGCATGCAGGAGTCACAGTTATTACTGCAAGGAGGCATGCAGGAGTCACAGTTATTACTGCAAGGAGGCATGCAGGAGTCACAGTTATTACTGCATTATGCTGCAGTGCAGACCTGCACAGCAGCATAGACTTTCTGTTAATAAGGCTGCTCCTTCTTGGCTAGCAGTATGACATCAGAATAACGCATTAATAAAGAGAAAGCAAAACTGCATTTAGAGTTCAAAGTAGATATGAGCAACTAGATTCCCCTGAAATAGATCAAAACATGGGAAATCTAAAAATAGTCAACATTTAGATTATATTATCCTTCTTCCTGAGGTTCCTGGTGCTCAGCTGTTATTATCAACATTCTCTCACTATTATTATTATTTTCTATCCATGTTAAAGGAAGTTTCTTTCCGTCTGTGAGATATTTAGGATCTGAGCTGCATGTAACAGTAGCTCATGACTGTTAGCTGACTGTGTGCAGTGTGCATGCATGCTACTTGCTGTGTATTTCAAATCCTGGGGGGGGGGGGGGGTGGGGGGGGGGTGTATTCGTTGTATTTTATCTTTGTTTGTTTTTATCTGGAGGACATTTACTGTAGAAGAATAAATAACCCTTTTGGATTTAATGAGAGACATTTCATCCCAGCGCTGCGTGTCCCGTGACATCATCAATGACCCCTCACCCCCCCACCATGGACTGTTCTCCCTGCTGCCCTCTGGGAAGAGGCTTCACAGCATTCAATGCAGGACCAGCAGGTTCTGCAGCAGCTTCTTCCCCACCGCCATCAGGCTGATGAACTGCTGGGTAAACTCTGAATCACTCTGATGAAACCAAACCAGCAACACTGCATATTTTCACCGTATATATCAATCCTCTGAACTTCTACATTAATGCATTTTTTGCACCATGTTTTTCTCCCAAACTGTTTACCTTTATGGATGGAAATGTTCATTTACTGTCTGAAAGCGCCACTAAACCATATTTCTTTATGTGTACACTCTGTGTTTTCAGTCCTCTCTCTCTCCTAATTATGCTGCCATTTCCATTACAGTAATATATACTCTCATTTATGTTTATGTACAAACTAACACTGATTTTTCCCCACTTCTCTATAGACTGTCACCTCTCTACTCATGTTTGTATTTTATTTAACTCTCTTCTTTGTCTTCATTCCATCTCTTCTGCCAGATTTCTTCTTCTTTCCTTTTCATTGTGGATTCCCCTCCCCTTTCCCAGGAGGAATGATCTTCACCTCCTCCTGCAGTGACACCCAGCAAAGCTGTACATCTGCTCCACCAGAGGAAATCTAAACACATAGATCCTATAAGTTCATTCCCTCTAGATTCCTTTAGACTGAATACTTTCTATTACTGCCTTGAATCTGTAAACACCCCCCAGCCTGACCTCCTCCACCCACAGCTGACTAATAATGACTGCCACAATCTCTGCTGTTAAAACACAGGAATTATCTGATATATATATATATATATATATATATATATATATATATATATATATATATATATATATATATATATATATATATATATATCCCTATTCTTTATATTATTAGAGCCATATTTGTTATTCTCCAAGTTACTATATTAACTATTCAATTCTATTCAGTTTATTTCTATAGCTCCAATTCACATCATGCCATCTCAGGTCACTTTCCAGTTCACCAGATCATCCAGTCAGATTGATTCAAAGTTTTCTATCTAAGGAAAACCAGCTGATTGCATCGACTCATTGACTCTTCAGCAATCCCTCACACTAAGCATGCTTGTAGCGACAGTGGAGAGGAAAAACTCCCTTTGAACAGGAGTGGCCTCCACGTCCCTCTATGACCTCCCTACAACACCTGGCCTTCTCCCGATGAGGAGGACGATGTCCTCCGTGACCGCCTGCCCCTCCCCACCCCACCCCGTCCCGCTCCAGACCGCCTGCTCAAAGCAAAGCCTCCAGCCTCCGCTGTTCCTCCCGTTCTGCTCCTCTCAGACTCCCTCTGAGCTCCAGGAGAACATGCTTTATATTATCATTAAATATATAGGAGCAGAACATGCGGAAATGACAGATTAAATAATCCCCATCAGCATCCAGCAGATGTTCGTTTTCTGCCAGATATTTTCCTATAGTCGTGGGCTGTATTAACAGAGATAACCAGGATCATCCGCGGTTCAGATGAACTGTTTGTTCTCTGCTTCCAATCTCAGCCTCTCTTCATCCAGCCTGACGTCACGTTTGCTCAGAAGATGTCAGATTTGCTCTCAGAAGCCGTTTAACTGGATTTGATTAAACTTTTAAGCCTCTCAATATAAAACAAATATTCTGTAGATGAGAGATCTGCTTCCTGGTCTGTTGAAGAACTGATAGTTTGCTTCCAATAATTTCATTAAACGGTTTTAGGGAATATATTATGCTCTAATTTGTATTTACTGATCCAGTTTTACTATATTTTAATTTGACAAACCGGATCTCCTTAACGTTCTTCTTCCTGTTTGGTGAGATTGGAATTGCTGATCTTGACCTGGCCTGTGTAGGAACCAGATCTGCTCGGGGCCCCGCCCCTTCTTATGATGTCATCACATGGCATCTCTACTCGGACAAACTCTATCGCACCTGTTTCCTAAGGATCAACATATTATTCCTTATATTTACTATTATTTTACATTTAATCAGTGATCTAAAGTAGCTGAAAACAGAAAACAATCATCGTCCGTCTGGAAGGAAACACTGACTGAGCTCTATTTAATGAGGAGACACTAAAAGTCTGTTTATTTTATCCTTTTTATTAAGATCTGAGGTCAGAGGACAAATGGAACATCTTAGAAAATGACTTTAGAGATTTTAGACAAACATTTATTCTACTTGTAGAAAACAAACAGTTGTTGTTGACAGGAAGTTAAAAGGAGTGTAGCTTAATGTGGCTAACTGAGCGAGCTAACAGAGGCTAACCTGTTAGCTACTGCTAGCGCTCCTCAGCTCTTTATATCACAGTCTAACATGCCTTCATCCTGCAAGAACTGCTGAGCCCCTCCAGCCTCAGCAGCAGCTGGCCGCACCACTGGGGGTGCGTTCAAGAAGCAAACAGTGATGGAAAACATTCACCACAACTTCCAGTTAAAATAGAAGACTTTATTAACTAAGCATTATGTTTACATTTCCAGGACAACCAGGACTAAACCAGTCAGACTAAACCAGTCAGACTAAACCAGTCAGACTAAACCAGTCAGACTAAACCAGTCAGACTAAACCAATGAGACTAAACCAGTGAGACTAAACCAGTCAGACTAAACCAGTCAGACTAAACCAGTCAGACTAAACCAGTCAGACTAAACCAATGAGACTAAACCAGTGAGACTAAACCAGTCAGACTAAACCAGTCAGACTAAACCAGTCAAACTAAACCAGTGAGACTAAACCAGTGAGACTAAACCAGTCAGACTAAACCAGTCAGACTAAACCAGTGAGACTAAACCAGTGAGACTAAACCCGTCAGACTAAACCAGTCAGACTAAACCAGTCAAACTAAACCAGTGAGACTAAACCAGTGAGACTAAACCAGTCAGACTAAACCAGTGAGACTAAACCAGTCAGACTAAACCAGTCAGACTAAACCAGTCAGACTAAACCAGTGAGACTAAACCAGTCAGACTAAACCAGTGAGACTAAACCAGTCAGACTAAACCAGTCAGACTAAACCAGTCAGACTAAACCAGTACGAACACAGATGGAAGGCAAAGAGTTTAAATCCATTTAATCCTGTTTATCCTTTGAAATGATTTTTTCACCAGTCAGTGAATCAGAGGTAAAGAAAACATTTCATTCGATGTTATTTAAGCTACCGTGTCGCCTGCTGCTGAAGATCCTCAGTCATTCAGGTCAGTCGCTCCAAAAAAGGTCAACAGTTTGAAGACGTTTCTCTTCCCATCCAGGAAGCTTCTTCTGTTCAGAATGTCTGTGAGAATTACAGCGATTTCCTGATAGAAATTATATTTCTGGATGTTATTTATCATCGTCTGTGAACTGAAAGTCTTTCTGTTGCCTTAGAAACGGCATTTACAGTTGCATAGGAGCGGCTCTCACATTTAGGGAGGCAGACACCTACGGCAGCACAGAGCGGACAAACTAGTGACTGCAGAGATCGCCTCCATCACAGCGTACAATCTATACCCTACACAGAATAATAGCATCAAATAAACAGAATGGAATGGAAACAGAAGCCATGCTGTACCTCTGTTACTAGGCATGGCTGTAAATGACACGTAGCGTTAAATGACACGTAGCGTTAAATGACACGTAGCGTTAAATGACACGTAGCGTTAAATGACACGTAGCTTTAAATGACACACCGTAGCTTTAAATGATCCATCATTCAGCATTTACATCAAGATCTTTCATTTTCTGATTGTTCCTGAGCGAATGGGAACAGAGATCCAATCCATTGGAATTCAGATCGTTATTCCTAAACGTACATACTATAAAAATACAATAAGAACCTAAAAGAAAATCTCTAAAAAAAAACACAAATAAATGTTACATATCAAGGCACAAAGTAAACGGTTCAACATTTGAGTCCGATCGGTTTCCGATGTCAGCGATACGCTCAGCCCAGGCATTGGAACAACCTGGATCTCTAATTTGATCGGATTCATTCAACATGTGACGCCTGGAGAAGGAAGCTCCAGAACAGCTTCTCACCAATCTGAAGAAGAGACGTATTACTGAATCTCTCTCCACTGGGAAGAGTTTTTCTTTGCGTGGTTCCTCGTGTGTTTGCTGAATGAAGCTCTTGTTTTGAACCTGTTCCCACAGGTGTTACAGGAGAAAGGCCTTTCATCTGAGTGAGTCGTCATATGTTCAGCCAAACCAGATTTCTGAGTGAAACTTTTCCCACAGAGCGTGCAGGCAAACGGCTTCTCACCGGTGTGGATTCTGGCATGTCGATCAAGGTTAGCTTTATGAGTGAAGCTTTTTCCACAAGACGGACATTTGAAAGGCCTCTCACCTGTGTGAGTTTTCAGGTGTTTATTCAGTAAAGCTTTTATTTTAAAGGAATTTCCACAGATCATACAAGAAAAAGGTCTTTCGTCTGAGTGAGTTTTAATGTGTTCATTCAAATGACCTTTCTGAGCGAAACCTTTTCCACAAACGGTGCAGGAGAACGGCCTCCCGTCTGTGTGAACACTGATGTGTTTATTAAAATCAGATTTGCTAATAAAGCTTATTCCACAGTACAAACATTTAAAAGGCTTCTCCCCCGTGTGAATTACCATGTGTCTGTTTAAAAAGGTTCTTCTTTTGAAGGTTTTCCCACAGCTCTCACAGGAAAAGGGTCTTTCATCCGAGTGAGTGGTCAAGTGAGAATTCAATTTAGCTTTTTTGGAAAAACTTCTGCCACAAACGGTGCAGGAGAACGGCTTCTCCCCTGTGTGAGATCTGATGTGATGAACCAGATTGTATTTATTAGTGAATCCTTTCCCGCAGGAAAGGCATTCATAGATCTTCTCCTTTGTGTGAGTTCTCATGTGTTCGTTGAAATGATTTCTTCCCTTTAACGTTTTTCCACAGATTTTACAGAAGTAATGCCTTTCATCCGTGTGGTTTCTCATGTGATAAGACAAACTACATTTCTGAGAAAAAGTTTTGTTACAAATGGAACAGGAGAAGGGCTTCTCTCCTGTGTGAGTTCTGATGTGTCTGTCAAGAATAGATTCATAGTGAAAGCTTTTCCCACAGGTCAGACATTCATAAATCTTCCCACCTGAGTGACTTTTCACATAAACCATCAAAAGGCCTTTTTTTAGAAAGCTTTCTCCATAAGTCAGACATGGGAACGGTTTCTCTTCCACGTCTCCATCCTCCTGCTTGAGAAGCAGCTGCTCCTCCTGCTCAGTGATGGGGAGCTCCATGGTTTCCTCTTTAGTCCAGGGATCTTCTGGCTTTAGCTGCTCTTCTTTCATCTGCAGAGGTTCTGGTTCCTCTTGGTCCAAACTGGAATTCCTCTCCTGTTTCCAGAGCTGCTGCTCAGAGAAATCCTCCTCTTTTCCAACCTGCAGGAGGTCTGGAAAGACAAACACAGGAGAAAGACTTTATATTACTAAAGCATAACATCCTTTGATTTATTGTATAAATGATTTAGTTTTATATAGAAACGTCTAAGCAAATGATAGCAGAGGAACCAGAGTGGATGAGCCAATCCAAGAAGCTTCCAGTGATTGAAATACAGAGAAGGAGCCATGCAGAGAAAACCAAACATGTTCATTTTAATCCTGTTTATTAGCTTGGCTGGAATCACTGGAGGCATTGCTTGTGCATCTTTTCAAGGCTGCCATTGGCTGCTAAGGCGAATGACATCACTTCCTGTTTTGGTTGTTGTTCCTTGGTGCTTCTCAGGCTCTCTCCTTTTGGTCAATTCACCAACTTACTCCAAGTGTCCAGAAGTACTTTGAAAACCAGCTTCTACTGCTGAACTTTTCTGGTAGGAAGGAGTAGCTAGCCCAGGCTAGCGCTACACACACACACACACCCATGGGGGTGTGTGTATATATAGATATATATACAGAAGTTATTTAACAAATTAGCAGTGTTGCACAGACAGACAGCTCCCACATTAGGGTCACCTCAGCACTGAGGAATGGAGAAGACGAGCTGGACAATCAGTTTCCTCTCCTGGACTGAATGAAGACACTCGGGGTCTAATAAGCAAATGTGAAACATGTCAGACATTTAGAAAGAAAGAGAGCAAAGAACCATTGATAATATCTGATATTCCAGCATCAGCATGGCTGGAGGTGGGAATGGATTGGTTTCATTTTAAAGGTAAAGACTATTTAGTGATTATTATTCTGACTCTTTGGGGCTGCCTCTGTTAGCTATGAGGTCATTAACTGGGTCATAGCGCGTGCTAAACCAATCTTTGCAGGGCATTATGGTGACTGACAGTGGACCATGGTTAAGTTACAGAGAACAGCAGAAGTTTGCAGAACGGGAGATTTGAAGCAGGTAACATCATGAAGCTGAATGGAAAAGCAGAGAAAGGAGTTCATGTTCTAAAGCAGAAAGCAGCAGATGGTAACTCTGACCCGTATTTAGCTTTATTAAGGTGCATTTTCACCTGCCGAACCTTTGATGAGTCACAAGACCCACAAAACTCTGCACCTGGTTCATTACTGGAAAAGACATGGTCAAAGGTGGAGTAAAGAGAAGATGGAAGGAGTTCTGAGATGAAATCATCTCCGTCACGAGAACAGAGCAATGAATAAATGTAAAGAACAGGACAACAGAAGCACAGTCTGTGAGAGACCTGGCTGATGAGATCCATGAACAGAGACTGATCATTATCTACACGTTTATAACTCTGAGTTTTATTCATTCAGACCTCAGAGCTGCAAGGCAGACGGGTCTAAGAGAGAGAATCTATTCTAGAAAATAAATACTTCTCATAACATCCAGACTGTTTCTCAGGGATTATTCCATCACTGTCTGTGTTTTGGGTAACGTTTCTGCAGGGCTGAGCTCCACGCTGAGAGACAGGGCTGCTGGTGTCTTCTTCTCTGTTTACTTTGCAAAGTTAAATAAAATGCCCACTGAATGAAATCCATCAATCTCTATTTATTTGACTTTTTCCAGCAAACACTGAACATCAGATGAACCACTGATCTCGGGAGCGGGGTGGCCCCTCCTCCACCTCTTCATCCAGTTAGCTCCCACGGAGCTGCAGCTGCGCTGCATATAGCACCATTACAGGAGCATCCTGACATTCAGGCAGCCAGGTTTCAGTTAACAGAGCAAGATGAGGGTCCATTAGAAAATCATTGATTGGAAATCATTTTCTGACACATCTAATGGTCCATACAGTCAGTTAATGGCTGGTGGTCAGACCAGCATACCCATAGTCAATCCCTTTAGTTCAGAATGAAAACTGCCTCAGCAGGCATGTATACCTTTAGTCCTTTACAAAAAATAACTATTTACTTACTTTTTGGTGTTTTTTGAAGCGTATGTCGATCTGACCTTAAATTGTTTTTTTGTATATGACTAAAGGGAAACACGTCCACTGAGGAAGCTTAAAGTCGTAGAGAAGCGGCTGTTCCAACCGTTACATTTCTGAATTCTCCTGATTGGTGCCCAACTTTACACCAGTGAATAAAGTGAATGTGATTGGTCGATTATCAAGGGGGCGGGATTGTTGTGGCGGAAGGTTCGCAAGCAGGTTTGGTTGTGGCTGGTTTGTGGGAAGCATCATGCTAACCAGTTAGCATCTTAGTGCTAGCAGGTTCCCAATGGGAAATTCCATTGGGACCAAGTAGCACTAAATTGGTGACTTAGAAACGACGCTGTCAAGGAACGCTATGGACAGCGGAAACATGCAAGAGGAGGAGAGTTTAGTGTCGGAGGTCGTGGATGAGTCTCCTCCGTCATCCATTTTTTATTTAGAGGAGGAAAGCGGGGACGAAGATGTTGTGGAAGAGGACGCCAGGGCGGCAGAAGCTTGGTTTGGTGTAGAAGGCTTCCAGCCGTACATGTTTGAGCCCTTGCCTCGCAACGCTGCCAGTTCTGTTAGCTCTACGCCTGCCGAAGACACAGACGTCCATCCCCGTGAACACTGGGACGCAACTCAATGGGAAAGGAAAGGATTCTGGTTTCAACCGTTGCGTATATTAGCTGCGACATATGAATCAAGATGCTATGACCGAAAACATTTGATTGACAGATGACCGTTGATATATGATTGGATGAATTTAGGTGTTCAGGCTGACGTAGAACTAACTGGCCTGCAGAAGATAACGGAAAAAAAAGATTTTAATGATCTAAACAGCTGAATGGTCATCCTGAATGATGTAATGCCCTCTGAGCTAGATAGGTGGCGCATGTGCTTTATATAACAGCCTAGTGTTGAACATACAGATGTATAGTGCAGTATGAACACAGTTGTGTACGCCTGTAATACGAGTTTCCAGGTTGATTAGATAAACCCCGCCCCCTTCAAGTACCCATGTGTTTATTGAGGAACCCACAACACAATATAGTCATTTTCTAACTTTCTAACTATTTTTTGTGCAAAACTAAAGGAATGCTGGAATCCCAACAGGAAATATCCCTACGTCATTCAGGTTTAAATCCAAGAGCGGAAAGGAAATCGGTCTGTTTCCTTGGGTTTCGCCGCCTATCTGCAGGAGGATGCCTTTGCCCTCCATAGCCGTAAGAATCCTTCCTGGCTTTTTAAAAGCCCATCAAGGTCCTCTGCTGCAGCATCAGACTGATCTAACCCCCCCCTCCTTCCCCGGGCTGCTAGTCTCAAAGTAAAACCCATCCACTTTTCCATTTGACGCTTTAATGAGGTGCAGCTGTCGGGTGAAAGAGAGAAATGTTGATCTGATGCTGATGTTTAAGCTGTGCTGGTTAGAAGAAATCTGCTCTAATGGCTGAAATATGATGCTGGGAAAGCTGAGGGAGACATTCCTTCTTTTCTTTCCTTCTCTGCTCTAAGGTTAGTTCATAGTGAACGTGGTTGAAAACAATCTATTGTTACACTCTGACCCCCCTCCCTGTTTGCTGAATGAGCTTCTGCTGCTGCTGTTAATGCATTTTAGCCATTTGAAGCTGAATGTATTTATGTTGTTTTAATTGCACTGTTATCATCACACCTGCTGCTGTTCTAACAGACATTATTGAGAGTATTAACATCTGGCCTATCCTGGACAATCTCAGACGCCAGTTAAATGGACTCTTAGGGTTTGATTCTTTTTGTTTCTTAAAACTAGTCATTAAATCTACCACGCCTTTATGTTCTAATAGCATGTAGTGTTTGGATAGATGTTAGATCCTGAATTATTAGAATAAATAACATTCTACTAACTGGTAGTGGTTTGTGATTCATATATACGTAGGGCTGGGTACCGGTTCCTGAACGATACTTTTTTCGATACCAGTTTTATAATATCAATTCGAAGAAAAAGAAAATTACACAACATAATAACGTACAAATCTTGAGTTTTATTTTAAGCTGATTTTTCCGTTTACATTTTTCCTCTTTTTTTTTCAGTGAAGAAGAACAGCTGCAAACAAGTCAGTGTCTAATATTCACTGTTACATTGTGAGGACCTTTTTACTCAGCAGTTTTCCTTTAGAAAAATGAACATGTCTGCTTTCTCAGGAGACAAACGAGCCCGTTGAATGGGATCCTACTGACAGCGACCCGCTGGGATGGGGGGGTCTGAGCGGCTCCCACAGAAATATTGGAAGGCAGGATGAACTGACTGCACTGATTAAGTTTTCAGGTGGATTTTCTCACTTAAAAAGATAACAAAACTACTTTATTCCCACTGATCACAGCAAATATAGCTGCAAGGCAGAGAAAGGATAGAGTAGCTCCGCCCAACGCGCGTCAGAGCTACTTTTCGACCGCGCAGCCAGAGCAGCAAAGCTGCTTCAGCCGCGCATCAGAAGCTGGTAGAAGCAGCAAAAAGGAAGCAGCAGACGTGATTTTGCTGCTCCTGCTGCGTCCAGTTTGAAAGCAGCATGATTCACTCCGCTCTGGCTTTGCTCCGCCCACGGGCTGCTGAGAGGAGGATGGTGGCGCCGGCTGTGGTCCGCTCTTCTTGCAGTCAAACACCGAGCAACTTTCTGCTCTAAAATTGTTTCCGTGCACGATGTATTGCATTTCGCACTATTAGCATCAGTCTTAATAAAGTGAAGCCGCACTTTTGACCTGGGGGGCATTTTAAAGGGGTTCCACGACGCTGCAACCAGTTCACAACAGATACACATGAACCCTGGCTGTAGGCGGGACCACCTGTGGATTTTTCCTGGATGACGCAATCACGTTAAGTGTCACAGCCAATCACCGAAACTTGGTACCGAAAGACGAGGCATGTTTGATACT